TCCACCTGGTTTCCCTTCTTTAATCTACTGTCCAGAGAGTGGGTACAGACACCCTCACTACAGTTCCACGCTACTGCCAGCTTTCTGGCTTTATCCTAGCCCTGCCTATTCCATTCCAGCTGGGTTCTATCATTACTCAGGGGTTATTAAAGCCAGCTAATTCCCCTCAGCTGTGGCCTATCTGGTTAATTGGCCTCTCACTCTCATAAACCCCTTCTAGGCTGATGTGGGGTGAATATCAGGAATACACTGAGTTATTGTCTTTCCAGGAGGTGATCCCTCCCCATTATCTTCAATGTCCTGATGGGTCAGAAGAGGCAGCAGGAGATTAAGAAATGGTTCCTTGTTGAATGGGTTCTACTTAACTGCTATGAAACTACTTGGGTCCATCAGGCATGATTGCTGCAGAACAGACAGACAAGCTTTGCTGTGCTTCATCATTTGTGATGCCCAGCATGTGGCGGAGAGGTGTGGTTGCAGTATAAGACCTTCCCCAAGGACATGTTGTCCCTCTGCAGAAAAAGCTTCATAGGGGAAAGCTCTATAAATTCAGGACACATGGCAAAGTTCACATTGCAGAACGTCCTTGCTATACTCCTTTCCCTTTGGAGGGATAACAGAGGAGGCAGGGAGCAAAGCAATCAGGATTTCACTGAAAGTGTGTCAAATGATTTAGAAGAGGAGAAGCATACACCTTTGTTAAGACATTTCTGTAGAAGCCTGTTTCCACAGGTATAACAAACTCTTTTCTCCTCTTCTACAGAAACAGACAAACAAAATAACCCACCCTAGAAACACCAGCTAATACTTGGTTCTTCATTTTAAATGATGGCTTTCAAGATGTAAGCAGGGTCTGAATGAGCTCTCCCCTGACATCGAGTTGGGACCCGGGGGAGACAGGAGCTGACTTTGTGCGTAGCATGATGGAGCTGCTTAGTCCAAATGATCACTTTTGGCTACTGCAAGAATGTGATAGTGTGAATTTCCTTCCTCTGTTTGTTTCCCCTCTCAGCCTCAGTGGTCTTTTCATGATGATACTGTATCTGAATCATGAATAACTTGCTAGAATAGTCCATGGACACTTTCTGATTATACTCGGCACTTCTTTTCTTTCAGTGTTTACTGTAAGTATACAGGATATTCAGCAACACACGTGTGAATCCAAGTCAGAATTTTACCTGATAAACATTTTATGGCAGAAAAGTATTTTAAGCAATTATAAGTGGATTTCAGGTCTTGTAATCTTTTTGTGATATGCCTACTTTAAGAAATCATCTTTTAAAACAAGATCAAGAGTGGATATCCGCCATTCAAAGTAGTGCAATTTATTATGGTACTTGCCATTCTAAGAGAAAGAAATATTGAAAATACTATGAGGAGGTTTAATACCTTCATGAACTTCATGTGCCCATTTCTGAATCTTCACCAGTCCCCAGCAGTATTGTGTTCTATGACACTATTGTGTCTAGCACCCTCTACTGTTAATATTGCTTCAAACTTCATTAATATTGAGATAGCTGCTGCCAAACAAATGGTAGTAAGGTTGTTCCTCCCAGCAGGAACTGAAGCACTGTTCGAACTCTATGAAGGCATCTTAACATACATTTGAACCCGGCTCTCTCAACAGCAGTGATTTTTGTCTTATAAATTCTGAATACATTTGGCATATCTCAAAATTATTTTGGCACCAAACATACAGAACATTTTACACAACTGATCCTTTTCAAGAAGTTTAAAGACATCTTGTTGCATGTGCAGTGTATGGAGATTATACAGTAACCTCTTTGCAGTAGCATTCTGCTGCCTGTCTCCCAGGACTCTTGCAGAATTGACATGGTTTCCTCAAGGGACTTACTTGATTAAAGAACATTAATTAATTGAATGAACATCTGCACTGTTTTCAACTAATAATTAAAATTAGCTAGGAATTGTAGTCCCTTCAAACTGAAAACATACAGACTACCACTTCAGCTCATACCCACAGATTTTATTTCTCACTTTCTCCAAAAAATTGGGTAGAAATAGATACAAATACAAAATTAATCTTAGTGGCTCATCAGAGATTCAGTGGACCCTGTGTTTTGAAGACAGTCAGTTTGCTTTCTGGCTATGCTGACAATTTAATAGCATTTTATTCTTAGTTTCATGTGTTGAATTTATTAACCATGACAATGCTGACATTTATTCCTTGGCAAACATTGGGGGAAATGGTCTAGAGGGAAGTCATTACACTTAGGTGCACTGGTGGCTGCAGAAATTATTTTTGGAGTTCAAAAGTAGAGTGCTGTGTCTGTAGTTCACATTTGCTCTTATCCATGCACATGGCTAGAGCTTTAATGACTGCTCCCACACTGATCATTGTGATCAGAGCTTGTTTTATTTGTGCTCATAACACGTATAATAAAAAAAGTGACTAACCTGTACAACTGTTTTCTTATTTTGAAGTCCCACAGGAGCTTTCAGGATCCCCTCATTATCTCACCATTCATGAGGGATGAATTATTATGGCACTGAAATCACACTTTGGAGTGTTAATAATTACTGTTCTCTAAGTCATGGTGCTTTGACCAAAAGTCATCTCGTTAGGAGCCAAAAATCCAAGTTCTCTTGGATGACCTTCCAGCATGGATGGAGAGGAGATACTAGGTTGGTGGTGAGAAACATCAAGAACTCTAAGGGCAAAGAGAAGCTTGAAAGGCCAGGAGTTCATTGGAAGAGAGTGTCCTAAAAGCACCGGGAGAGTATTAGGAGAGCTGGGAGGCTACACAAGAAGTTGCTAGGAGGGCCATAGAGAAAACGTCAAAGAGCCTACTGAGCAACACAGAAAGATAGGAAAGAATCAGAAAGGTCAGAGTGTGCTTCCAATTTGGAAATTAAAGCAAATCAGCAGTTCTTTCTGAAGCTGAACAGTGTAACAAAATATCAGGGCTTATCCATGGCCATGCTTTGCCACATTTTGGGGATATTCCCAATTATTTTATGATATGGGTTTATTCAGTAAGGGAGAGCAAGTCGGCAGGTCGTAAAGCTAAGTCATCATTACACTATGTGGCAGTGCAGGAATCAGCAGGATAATCAGGAGGCAGTGGAAATTAAAACCAAAAATTCAAGTGAATGTATTGGTTACGAAAGGTCCCAGACGGAGAACCCTGGAGACTGAAGTCCTCTTTACTTCCATAGAATGGACACAAAATAGAGCAGCTCTGAAATGTCGGCTACATGTAATTAAACAATCTCCATATTGACCCATATTCACATTATGCAGCCAAACAGTTCAAGCGTAGTCAGTGCAACAGCAAGTCTAGTATTAACTAATACCAGGAGGCCCACCTTTGCAATATTGAGGGCCACAATGACAACTTAAGGGACACGTCTGATTTACACAGACCTCTATAGATAAGTAGAAATATTTGTTTCAAGTACATAGAGCTACACAGCCATTGGCTCGTATATTTGCCTACTCCTGTTCTTTATTAAATAGTTCTTCAGCTATTTAAGGACTGGATGGTTAAGGAAAATTGGAGACTTTTACTTCTCAGTCCACTCATTAGTATCCTGCAATGGACGGTATTGTCTGAAAGTTGTTATTGTCCAATCCTTGTTTGGTAAATTATATGAAATGAGTTTGAGAATCTCAGTTTAATGCTAGGGGGGCAGGGGTCTGCATCACACACATACCCAAACTCTAGCTGGTGCCCTTGTTGGCAGTCTTAGCAAAGAAGCCCAGGAGTGAATGGGCATGGAGATCCTTTAACCCTTGAGGATGGTAGTTCAGAGTATCAAGAGACATACTGCACACCTGACTGATACCGACACAGGACCCATGATGCCTCACTGAACTCTCAGTATCACAACACAGTGTGACCTAAAGGAAGTGGGGGTGGCCAGCGGCTGGAAGTTGCTTGGTTTCAGATAAAGTGGCCGGGGCAACACACATTACCAGCTGTCAGATGGGCTGACTACAATTTGCCATATTGTTGGTGGATCTGTGCCCAAAGTTACTTTAACCATCTCCTGCAAAGGCAGAGAGAGTGAGCTGGAAATTCTTCAACCCTGCTTCCCAACATAGCAACAGGCAGTTTCTCAGTTTTAGTTAAAATAACTTTCTTCTTGTTTATTTATTTATTAATTTTGAAAGGTGCTCAGATACCATGATGATGGGCAGGGCAACAAAAACCTCGGTAGCATGGAACAGCACAACTCTTTCCCACACCAACAGAAATGGAGTTGGGTATTCAGGGGAATAATTGATCATCTATTTGCTTTCATAAGATGAATGCCAAGAATGATTATTTTCTTTGGGCAGTAGAAACACTTTTTTGTGCTAGCTGGTCCTGACCAGGTCCTAGTATTTATCTTCATAGAATATCAGGGTTGGAAGGGACCTCAGGAGGTCATCTAGTCCAACCCCCTGTTCAAAGCAGGACCAACCCCAACTAAATCGTCCCAGCCAGGGCTTTGTCAAGCCTGACCTTAAAAACCTCTAAGGAAGATTTTTGTATAATAGCAAAAACTCTGAAGGAGAGAGAGAAGAAACTGCTGCTAGATCACTGCATTACGGTAAAGGACCTTTTCTTTCCACCAGTGAGATGAATGCTGCGGGGGAGGGGAGGGAGGTTGCTTCTTAAAACTAAAAGTTTCATTTGCAAGTGGTACCTGGAGTTTCTAGAATAAAAGTCAAAGTCTAATGAGCAACTGGTCTTTTTTATGTTTGAAACATGCCTTTTGGAACTCATTGACTGCAAGTGAGGCTACTAGCAGAGAGTGCAGTATTACTAAGTGTGAGCAAGGGTGGAAGACTCAAGCTCGAAGCTGTGACTGTTGTTGTCATGTTAAAATCAAGGCTTAGGTTGTTTTAACTTCTGTACAGCAGCCACAGAGCTTGGGTCAGGCATGGAATTACCTGTGTTAAGACTTCACAGTTATCTGATCCCATACTGCACAGTTGGTTGGCATGGAAATCATGATTGCTGGATGGTAAATCAATGGGAAAAGCTTACCCTCGGGTCTTTTTCCAAATGAAGCTTGTGCTGAAGACTGCGTCTTCTCCTGGCCCTGGAGATGCCATTATGATAAAAATGGTACCCAGCATCTATAAAGGGAAGCTGGGGAAGAGAAAGAGCAAATTTAAAAAAACCAAACAAAGCCAAAACAAATACACTTAAGAACTATAGGGAAATTTTTTTTAAAGGAGCCTAAGTCCTATTCACTTTTTAAAGACAGGCTCCTAAGTCACTTAGGCACTTTTACCCTATAACATTAAGGTTATTTGCTACAAATGTATTGTTTCACTTGTAAACATTGGTATCAATGTCACTCTGCATTCAAGGTCTGCAGCACCAGTATTTCTGCAGGACTTCCAAATTACATCAGAATTATTTCTTAGTCCCTGAAACATCCAAAATAAAAGGATAAAATTTTCCTCTGCTGCAAATGACTTAGAATTACCACAAATTGTATTTCAGAAATAAGGCAAGACAGAAATGCTTTTCTGAGCCATTATATTGCACCTAAAATGAAGCTCTAAGACTTAGGGCAGAAAGCAGAGTGATTTTCTCCACCAGATAAATGCAGTGTCTGGAGTTTCTTCTCAATACTGTGGAATGAAATTGATAAAGAAAAATAAGGAAAAAAAATAGATGGTACCATGCATTATTAGCATGGTACAACATTTCTGATAGCCTATCAGAAAGCTCCATTTGTGTCTCAAGTTCTAAAGCCTTCTGATAATTCTATTTTCACAGGCAGATTCCAAAAAATTATTTAAATCTACCAAAAGTTTTTTTTAATTCTCCTTTTAGCAACCTAAAATTTTTACTTCTCAAAACAAGCTGTATTTTAATGTCGCTAACATTTCAATTTCAGGGACTTAATTTAGCGTCATTATCAAGGGAATAATTAAGAGAAATTACAAACACTCATAGGGGTTTTAAAAATGTTTTAAATCAAAACAAATACAAAACATTTTATCAATGAGTCTGTAGTCCTTATGAAAATATAAACATGCAAATTATTAATAGTGATTCAACTTTTCTGATTGAAAATGGAGATCAAGGGCCAGATTCCAAAGGGTCTACTCATATCCAAGAGTCTACTACACTTGATATGTAACATCAAACAGCAGCTCGCAGGGCCAAGACTCTGCCTGTCTTTGAGACTTATTTGTAAATTAGTTTTACAGCGATTCAAGTAAAAATCGTCTAAAAGGAGCATCTTCATAAAAAGGGTAGCTATTTCTCATGGTAATTCCCAGAATCCGGCGTACGATGCTAAATCCTGGCCTTCCAGATGAAAGTCCTTAGACTGATCACACAGGATATATTTGTGTATACCGCAAAGATGTACAGTGAATATAGAGGATAAGCAAATAGCTGGATTAGTTACCATTTGAAATACACTGACTAGATCTACTTTAATGCTAACCCGGGGCAAGATTGTGCCTACCCTTTCATAGCTGCACTGTGTATGCGGGGGCAGAGCAGAAGGCCACAACAAATCTTTTCTCTCCTTGTGCAAACTACACAAGGGCCTCACTTGACTGCCATCTCTACATCCCCTACAGCTACAGTATATATGGGGCCTGGCAGTGCATAGCTCCCACAAGGTGCAGGAGGAAGTGAAGTCCTGGACCCATCTCTGCATTGACATCAGCATGCAGGGCGAGTAGACTATTCTCTATAAAGGGGTGTAACAGGAGTTGCACTCTCCCAGCATTGCTAGGAGGCTCTGGGGGGGAAGTCTTCCTCCATTATGTGGATCTCCTCTCGAGAACCCCCCCTGAAAAAGTGCAGTTCCACATTGCCCCCATTACAGGGCTGCGCCTCAAAGGTACAGTTGAACCCAGGGACAGTAAAACTGCAAAGCGAGAAAGGGAAAGAAGAGAGACCAAATTTTGCAGGTGACAAGGTCATTAAGACAGAGAGGAAGGAGAGGGCATGGAGAACTTCTCACCGTTCAGCGTAACAATCTGAGTGTAACACAATGACTAAGTATATCACACAGCAAATAAAAGTCTTCTACTAGTTACTCCTTTAACTCAAGTGACCTAGAGACAGCACTTTTGGTGATGAAGGTCCTGCTGATTCCCCACTGTGGAAGACTTGTTATGTATTTACACTGCCCTCATCTCCTTAACAGAGGGTACTACAAGGATTATTCCAGCTCTCATAAATCGATGGTCAGGTTTCCTCCTTATTTCCCCCAGTGAAGTCAGGTTATTTTTCCTTTTTACCAAGCATCCAAATCGGTTCCTATCAAGAATTCATTTCTGATGCTTTCAAACAAACGTGTTCTCTTGGCTATTTTGGACACATTTGGAGAGAAATAATAGGCCCCTATGGCTCATTTTCTATGCACATTTTGTTGGGCTGAGCCTACATATTGTACAGTATAGCAAAACAACTATGGATATGTAGAGGACTTGAACGTAAGCAAAAGCAACTAGACCAAGTCAAGTAATGAAAATCACAGTTTCAGGAACATAGTCACAAATGAGCTACTTGAATCTGATTTATTGTAATTCAGAGAGTGATAGTACCCATTTATTAATAGTCAGAGGACCATCGGTTTTCATGATATTTGCGAATCCCAAAAACTTTGTGAATTTGAATTGGAATTATTCATTATTATTGGTCATTTGTTAGTCTCCCGTTGAAAGGCTTCAATCGTGGAAAGGAAACAAGACCAAATGACCAATTGGTTACCAGGAATTGTCAGTAATTAATAGTGGTAGTGAACAATTTGCAAAGAGTTTGTGAACCAACAATTGTCTGAAAATTATTTGTCTAAACTCTTCAGTGAACACTTACAAATAATGAAGATCTTAAGAGAAAACAGGAAGAGATCACAGACAAAACTAGGCCTACAAAGTCAGTTTGATGAATATGACTTAACTAGTTGCTCAAACCCATAAACAGCAGTATTGGGCCCTCTGCTTTTGAGATGGCTTCCTGAAGTCCTGTACTGATTCAGCAACATCTCATTGACCAGTGAGACCACAGGGGAAAGTAACTAATGGTACAATATTGCTCTCCACCAGTGACTTGGGGCTTTGCAAATGGAAATGCTGACCATTGCTTTATAATAGGGTGAAATCAGAATGAAAGGATTCATGTCTGTTACAAAAAAGAAATAAAATGTCAGTAACAGTAACTCCATGACCCATAAGGAGGAAGAACACTCTAGTGCAGTGGTTCTCAACTGGGGTCCACAACCCCCTGGGGGCTGCAAGCAGGTTTCATGGGGGCCACCAAGCAGGGCCAGTATTAGACTCACTGGGGCCCAGGGCAGAAAGCCCAAGCCCAAGCCCAGCCCAAGCCCCTTAGCTTTGCGGGGACCATAGTGTGGGGCCATGGGCAATTGCCCTGCCTGCTACCCCCTAATGCCAGCCACAGACTTCCCATATGTCCTTTGGCATGTCTCTTACTCTGCCCTGTGCCTCAGCTCCTCATGTATAAAATGGGCCCTCAGAGAGAGTTGTAAGGATGATTAAGTAGAGTATTAATTATTCTGAGGGTCTCAGATATTAAGGTGATGAGGGTCGTGTAAATACCTACATAGAACAGAACAGCAAACAGATTAATTTCCACTTAATGTACAAATATAACATAGCACTGAGTGCTCTCAATGTGTATCAAGGTGAGAATAAGCCTCAAAGGATTTCAGGCATATTTTATATTGTTCAACACTTCCTTACAATCAACTCTTCTGATGCAACTACTCTTGTAAATTTTAAAAAAAGCTCTAAGAGATACTGCAAAATCATGAAAGAGCCTCTCTATATCCTGCTCATCTCGACTCTTCTTTCAAGACGACACTCTCCCAATTCTTTATTCTCCAGTTAATAATATAAACAACAACATGGTAAAAATAAAATCATGTTTGGCTTCTTCCTTTATTATTACAATTGCAGTCACACCTGCCAGCCCCAATCATGGCCAGGGACCCGCATTGTGCTAGGTGCTGTACAAATACAGAACTAAAAGAAAGTCTCTGCCCCAAACTGCTGGCAATCCTGTAAAGGAACCACCTCTAAAATTAAATTTTAAAACCTCGTTACAAACTAGCAGGGGGAAACAAAGACCATTGAAAGGGAAGAGGCTTTGCTAATGACAGGAATTACTAGAACGTATTTTTAACTACAGAAGCAAGATTACATTTTACAGAAGTGAAAAGTATTCCACTGGGTGCTGTTACTGCATGCGTGTGACTCTGGGATGTCTTTGTTGCTTCTCAGGCTACTGTTCCAACTGATAAGCCAGGGAACAATTACATGATTAAAGTCTGTGTAGGAGGCAAGTACATAAGTTATACCTGCCTCAACCCCTAGCTGCACCTTCCTCCTGAAACCCATACTCTGGGAGGTAAAAATTATCTTGGTTTCAAATTACTTTTTTAATTTGCTCCTGAACTTTGCACCTGTTCTGTGATTCTTCCTTCCCAGATGCAGAAAAGAGGGTGAGGAATTTACCGAGAGAGGCTCGGTCACAAGCACACAGCCCGTAGAGAAGGGTAATGCTTAGCTGTGCTGCTACAGGAGTATCCCTGAAAGGGACTGTAACCTATGCAGCCACAATTCTCCTGCTGCTGCCCCTCACTCAAGGAGGGTAATTTGCTGTTGGCCTATCCCATCAGTAAATACCCCCTGTGCATCCCCGTGTTGGTTCAGCAGCTGCACTGTCAAAAAAAGCGTGAGGTGGAGCCAAGTCTCCACCCATTCTCTGTCCACTCAAAACCCCCCTCCTCTGGAGGAGGGAATAAACAGATGTACTGCACACACATGCTCATCTGCACCTGGATCCAACGTGTGGGTTTCCCACATAGGACTATAAGAGGGTAGAGGGGTGCTCTTGTTCCTTTTTGTCCCCCTGCACATGTGTAAACTACAAGTTATAATCCTGCCTTTAACCCTTTTTCAGTCTTTACTTGGATAAAACATTTGTTGATACCAAACGGGTTTTTTGTTGAATAAGAGACAGACTCAGTGCAGATGTTAATGAAAAGGAACCATATAAAGAGTCAAATTCAGATTTTAGATGTGCAATAGCATATTTTGAGACACACACACAGTGCTGTCATGGTGCATGCAAGATTAGAAACTGACCCT